TTATTTGATTAGTACCGCGCTTATTAGAAATTTGGTCTAGGGAACTACAAAACACAGAGTTATCTTAACTGGTATTTCCATTAAAGCGCGACCTTCTACTAGGACGCTGTTGGCCTCGAAATATTTGTGGTGCTACACTATGAATCTGCTAAATGATGAACATTTCCTAGTGTGAAAGCATGAATAATTCGATATCTTGTCATGTTAAGTTTACTGTAGGCACTCTGTAGAGTGTAGAACTGCTTGCTATATTTTTTATAAAAACTGAAATAAACACATTATTTCGTAATACTTTATCCAGCTTTTTTTTTTATTATATAAGACTTTTATCCAGCCAACTTTTCGGTCCCTTCGCCTTCCTCCAGTCCTTTCGATGTGGGTCTTCGTAACCGTATCTACGCGAAAGAGCCGAAACATTGGCTAAATAAAAGTTCTGTGACAAACTCTTGTAAACCGGTGAATACAATTGAAATAACAATAGTGGAAGACTGTTTTCATGTGTCGTAGGTGTTGCCGATTTTGTGCGTATGCAATTCAATGCATAATGTTTGAAGATCTGAAGTTTTTTTTCGATCTAAAAGTGCTAAACACATGAAGGAATGCACGAGCACTCGTTTCCAAATTTTCGTGCCAATCGAGTATTTCGTGTTACAGCAAGAGTGGGTAGGTTGCTGGCAGTGTTTGGTCGATCGCTTTGAATAGGAGTATTGCTTTTCATATAATATTTATTGTATAGCTAACTGCAAATGTTTGGAAGTCTCGTTAACGTTTTTTTGAAAATGCTGCTGGGAAATGATCTAACCGAAGTACATGCATGTGTTTGTAATGCGCTTTAAATCCTAGTGAAGTGCGCTATGAAAAAAAAAGCAAAGAAGAGAAGATATTTGTATACCAAGAGAAACGAGACCGATTAAACCAAGGTTCTGAGAATTTTTCTCTTATTCGGAAGTTTTCCCCTTTTCGAATTTCATTGACTATCGGTTTTTATTTTCAAGCACAGGTTCATAAATTTCAAAATGGTGGGCTGGTAGGATAAAATGAATGTTTCTTTTTTTAAAATTCTTCCAGCCAACGTTAAGCTTTTCCTTTTTGTTTTCTTTTTCGCCGTGAGAAAATATGATGCCGTTCGAACTCAGTACAAATGTTTTCTATCCTCACGAATTGGCTCTGCTATTTCGACTACTTAAATAGGCTTGTTGAAATGAGACGATGATTATGGAAGTTTTAACGGGACAGATGAATGGTAAGATGGACATGTTAGGCATCATTTTATTTTTCTTTGTTGCAGTCAAACCAATTCAATCTGCTTCTTGAAATTTGTTGTAAAAATAGAAGGGAGGGTTTTTGTTACTGTTATGTGGATTTGATGAGAATTTCATTGTTTACCACATTTGTTAATATTCGACATAACCGTGGTGCCCACGTTTGTCTCTTTTTTTTTTTCTCCTTTGCTAATTAATGAAGCGATTTAATGTCATGTTTCCATTGTTACTATTATTATTATATTTAATATTGCAAGTTTATACTTCGTTTGCAATAATAGATCTTTTTTATACGATTCCTCTCATTCTTCCGAAAACTGAGGAAATCAACTTTCTACCAAGATTTCCTATCGCTGGTAGCAAAGTGACTACAGTTGAATTAAATCCCTTTAGGCTTATTGAGCCGACGACACTTCGTTGGGATAAGTGACTTCCATTTAACAATCTGGCAGTCCTGAAATTTTGCATTCTTCTAAATCTAGAGCAATCGTTGGGTGAAGTTTTACGGCATATTTGTTTCCGCTTAATAATCATACTACAATTTAGTGTCCTTAAGAATTTTACTGTGCTCTAGGTCTTATTAGTCACTAGTCCTACCTCACATGAGCGGCATGTGAAGATTCTTCAGATATAAGAATCATTCGGAGGGGATTTTACGTTTAATAGTTAAACATAGTTTATTCAATTTATTTTGAGGAATTTTAACAGTCATAAACGGGAAATCTATTTACGAGCTTACATTTTTGGCAATTATGCTAACATCAAAGGTGTAGCGCTCTGGTTAGAGGTGTCTCGCATTACATGGGTTCTATATCTCCGGTATCGCCAAATTGGCGCAAGGCTTATCGTGAAGGATAAAAATCCTGACCTTATACATCGCTGCGCCCCCGCAAGAGGTTGTGTAGGCCAGATATGCACTCAGTCACCTCTAACGATCTTTCACGAAGTCGAATTCAAGACACATCCTTCCAGATTTTAACGCTAGACGCTTTATCCTTTTCCATTAAGTTGAGATTTTTAAAATCTTTGCTCTTGTGCTTTTGTATCCCATGCAGTCCTCACTGAGTACCATAGTGAAATATTCTACTCTAGGTGTGCACTTCTAAAGTGGAAACCACAGGAGCGTTAACTGAAGTTTTAAAGTAACTGTCGTACTGACAATTTACTGATTAATGCTGTGTCAATAGATAGTTGTTCCTAGTTTGTTTTGTGACTGGTTGTTAATTTAGTTTGGATGAAACGATAACGTGCTTTAATGTATGCACTCAAATTTATTCATTCTAGAAGGCACCATCCAATCTACATTGTGGTTTTCAAGGAAGAGAGGATAATATGAGGACATGTTTCCTTTTAAATAATTTCGATTTTGATTGTATAGAAGAATTCTAGTTAGACGAGATTGAATATACAGTAAGACATAATTATTTCAACAAAGCCTTTTTAAAAATTCATTATAGTTAGTTGTTTTCCTCCGACCACATATATATATATATATATATATATATATATATATATGTTTCTGTGGTGTCTGTAGTGTTTGTGTGATGTGTGTATGGTATGTCTGTCTGTGGTTTGTGTGTGGTGTGGTGTGTATAATGGGTTTGTGTACGTTGTTTTTTGATGGTACTATTAGGGATATATAAAAGTTTTTTATTTCATTTCGTATCACTGGAACTTTTTTGTTCAAGAAGTAATAAGGAAATTAGATTAATCTCTGTTCTGTAGGTATTTTCACTCTACCGGTTCTAGATAAATCGTGGGGCTTATACAATAAGAAGATTATAATACAGTAGTCTGTTCTCTTGACAGTGGCTTGGTACATTGATTATTAGTGGTTAACAAGGGATCGTAATTTGACGATGAATACGATTGATTGATTCTGTTTGCTTTTGTGTTGAAATACAGTAGCAGGAAAATCAGAGGGTATACTGTAGTTGGCTTGAAATGCTTTGTTTTGTTTAGGGAAAGAAAGTTCCAGAAGCTGCAATTATTTTCGTTATGTGAAGTAAAAAATGGTTTTGCATCTATATGCTCTTGTTGGATGTTCTTCCTAAAACGACGTAACGTCATCTACCTATCACATGCGAATATTTTAATCATGAAATTATTTAGTTAACTCTCTCAGGTTACAATGTTATACCTTTTTATATTTTCTGCCTACTATAATTTCGCGGCAGGGTACTAAGCGAAATACAACCACTACAACGTTGCTGAGATATTTGCAAAACTCTGGACCGCAGGTGTCTGTGGGGAACGAAAGCGCTATTGTCCTTTCCGGGGAGTAACGCGATCGCCACCACACCATGCGGGTCCTTCGTTTCGCCTTTCTCTCAGCTATTTCTATCGATCTTTGCCACAGCAATCACCCGTCACCATAGACACCTGCGGTCCAGAGTTTTGCAAATATCTCAGCAACGTTGTAGTGGTTGTATTTCTCTCAGGTTAGTTATGTAGATGACTTTTCCTCACATTTCCTCTGGTGCGCTTCCAGCGCTCTTTTTCCAACCGTTTCTTTGTCCCACAGGACATCTTGACCATAAGCAAGCTGGATGCTAGTTGACTTGATTGGGTTTTTCCCGGAATCTCGAAATAATCATTCTGGGGTCGGCGTTCGATACTCAATGGCTTCCATTTCTTCACGAAACAGTAGTCAGAAGTCCTTGTCTATCTGGAGGGGATTCGTGCCTTATGACCAGGGCTGCTCGAGCATGGAAGCGATTGTTACGACTAGTTAACCGAGATTGAAGATAGTGTAATAGTTCAGATCAGCTGTAGCTGTTTTATGCACGCAAACGACTGCGTACTAAATGAACAAATAGGAAGCAGTTGCTGCTAAACGTAAAATACTCTTCTGGACTCTAGTACGACGCCTTCTCGCTCGACGACTCATATGAGCGTCTTGTAACTTCCCCCTTTCCATTCTGTCATTAACTCTTCCCATAGCGCCACAGATTCAGGCGTTCTTTAGATACCTATGCCGCTAGATTACGAAAACGGGATTTTTTTTTACGAGATAGTGACTGCTGGTACTTGCTTGAAGATTGCTAGGCCATTATAATTCAGAATACATCGCAGGTTCAATAACATGGTTGAGGCTCGGTTAACATCTCACTAGAGTATCATAACACTCAGAAACGTGGCGCATCAAGGTAGGTAAAAAGCCGGAGTTTTGCAAATATCTCAGCAATATTGTGGTTGTATTTCGCTTAATACCTTTCCATAAAAACTATAGAAGGCAGAAAATAAAAAGTAAACATTAAGTAAAGTGTATCAAAAATAAAAAGCGTCGACCACCGACTAGGATAATCGGCTCTGATGAAAACGAAGACGTCGAAACGTTAGCCGAAAATAAATATATTTATCAACGTCGTGTAAACTCGTTAAAAAAATACATATTGATTAATCACACCGAGGTTAAGGGAAAGTCGGTTTCGAAATACTCAAAAAAGTGTTACGTTTCATGCGTGTGGTCTACTCGTTGAGTTAGTGGAGTAGTTGAGTCTTTGTTGTGTAGTTCAAAGGTTCTTGATTCGTCGAGCTGCTTTAACACTATCACAAAATATGACGACAGTTCTGGAAGAGATGGTATTGTAGTCAAACTCATTGTTCGATAGTTTTCTTTGCTATATTTTCTTCGTATTTACGTAATGTTCATTGCAGTCGAGCTTCTTTGTTCACCGTAATAATGTGTTGTCACTAAATTCTTGTTTTAATTTCTGATGTTCCATTCGTATTCAGTCATGTTATGGTAATGTCGACGAACTGCTCTACTCGCATTTGTTCGCTGCTCTCTCTCTCTCTCTCTCTCTCACTCCGATGGTAAACAGTTTTTATGTCGCACAGTAAATGAACATGGAAGCTTGTGAATGCACATACGTCGGCACCACTTCCTGCTCTTGAACAGAGGAACTACCGAATCATCTGTTGAAAATGGTCCTGTAGCTAATGCTTTTACTATGTTATTGATTCGACACTAAAAAATTGCTTAATCTCTTTTTTTTAAATAATAACACGGAAAGTGCCCACGTAAACTCTGTTCAGCTTCAAAAGTAGGTTGATACTGTACAATAAAAGCACTTGACACGTAACAATGATTGTGTCTTTCACTCCTATGCTTGTTAGTCCGTTAAGGAAATAACTAAGCAGAGCCTAACCATTTGTGGGTAGGAGGTTTTTTCACTAGGCGTACTCTGCAGACTTCGTATCTTTTGACGTCCATATTTTTTATACTTCTAAGATCTATTTATGAAAGGAAAGCCTTGCCTTATAGTTCCATGTCGAGAACAAGGTCGAAAGTTCGTAACCTTCTGGACACACTAGTACTTCGATTTGAAACCAGTTCTCTTGCAGTTGGAACCAGCCACATGCGCTTAAAAACTCTATTTAATCGAGTTTTGGAGAATTTGTCTTAAGAAGCAATAATGGATCTTTTCTCGAACATAAACCGAAATTCGTTTTCAAAGTTGTTCATTCTTGACCTATCTTTTACAGGCTTCTGTTCCTGGACCGTTAAAAAGTCTTCCTGTAAATATTGTTTACTGCCTGGTACCCAACACTACTGAAGAGATTGAACTTCAGATTTTAAGGCTTCCCTAGAGGTTAGAAAATCAGTAATGTCCCATTGCAGCCTATTTCTCTAGTCTTTTGTACCTTCATCTAAGCAGTTATGGTCAGACACTTGGTTTACATCTTTAAAATTTCATTTATATTTAGCAATGTTATGGTAGGGTGCGTGTGGTTGCAGGTCGCGGTGTTTGATATACGTAGTCAGTGGATCGACCATACACCACAGGCTAACCAAGCCCCCTATACCTCCAAGGTCTTGGATTGTTCCCCCAATTTATCCACTGTTCCTCGTATTGATAAGGTCTAAGCAGTATCGTAATGGCAATTCATGTTTAATTCTTTCCACTTCTGCTCAGCAAACACGAGGTGCTATTCCACTTCCCCACTCACGTAAAAACTGACGTTTTGGCGGATTTCGCCTTCCTCAGAGCCTGGAAAGGTTACGTCGACAGCAACCTATTCTGCCAAGCACCTTCACAACCAAACAAAGGAAACGCTAAACCAAGATTTCAATCACATTGAACACAGCTCCGCACACTCACCGCTTTCTGTGAGTCTTCCTCTGAGTATGTCGTGCGAAGACCAACCGCACAGAATTCACCTCGAAGCGTAATGTGCCCCTTCCATCAGAATAACAGGTTTATATACTGCTCTTTATCACACGTGATAATGAGGCATTCTTCCCTGCAGTTCATTTTCGGATTTCTGAAATTAATCCAGAACGCCTCGAGAGTCTTGCGTGCTTGTGTTCTTGATTCCTGCGCGAGGATCGTGACACGTACTTCAAAGTCCTTCTCGTTATGTCTCTGGGTCCTATGCGTGCCTAGCGGGGTATTTGGTTTATGTTTTCCGGCTAGGTGTTCTTTTATGCGGATAGAGAGGACTCTGCCCGTTTCGCCAATGTATTCGTCTCCGCACACCTTACAGGAGATATGTACAGGAGATAAACTATACCCGAGCTCATGCAATCACCGTCTTTACCATTGGGGCAAATTATGCAATTTTGCGTTGCACATAGGCTATTACGAACTAGCTGGCGCCTAAGATTACTCGGTGGCATTTCAACTACGTTTACCGAATTGCATGAGAATGGAATTGTTCAATCAATGCCGAGGTTAATAGAAAGTCGGACGTGGGAATTCATGTTTATTCTCTACAATTGTATTCAGAATTAATCGGGCACGATCGGATCCAGGAATTCACGAGGTGCATGTGGTTCAAGGCAATAGCGAACCGACAGTATTACAACATCAGATCCAGGTTGGAATTCATTTCATTTCTATAGCAATCGTTCGGTTGATTTGTTTCATTGAGTAACAAATAGTACATTTTCTTGAGCTTATAAATTTATGTTGTGACATGGTGCAAAGCCAATGTTCCTTCTTACTGAGTGATTACCCCAGCCAGTTAGTTGTGCAGCTACGTGGTGCGTCAGTGGGTGGTGAATAGATAGATGGTGAAACGGGAACGAAAACCGAACTAGTGCTTCACTGAGACGCAGACGTATTCGGAGGATGCATTGCTAATCTCGGTTACGCCGATTTGACATAAACCACTGTTTTTATGTGGGCATAATCACGATTGCGTTTGTGGGTGTGCCGGCGTGATCAAGATAAAGAACGTTAATTCAGTAGCCTCGAAAAACAATCATACAGCTTTTAGTAGCATGAGTGCTGAGGAACTGCTAGTGTCACTTAGTCATTGCCATTCTCGATCTAAAGTTATAGGTGTGTTGTTGTAGTTTATATCTACGACGTGCTTAAGCAGGCGTGAGAATTCCCAGTTGAGGATCTGACGATGGAAAGTACAAAAAATCACTTGTATCACGTGTAGTCCCATTGATTGTCGAGTGATTCGAGTGGGTGGCAGTAAATCTTCCATTTTTCCTTGTTACGTGCAAGAGTAGCCCAGTGGGTTCTGCTCGCTCTAGGGACTCGTTCAGCATCATATCCTTCTTGTAGGCTTTTCGTGAAGAACGCTGACCATCGAGTCGTTGGTCTTGTGTTTCTACTGATATGGAATTTTAATCAGAGTATTTTTCACTTGCTTAGGGGTTCATGTTTCGAACATGAATTTAATTTTAAAAGTGGTGGATCCTACACGTTATGTAAAGATCATTCATCACCTGCACAATAGTTTCACAACCATGATTTCACCATTCTACAGTGACATTAATATTGAAATAAGCAATGCGGTTCGATAACGCGATAACATTTCTGGGAAATTATTTACAACATCCTCCAGTATTTCTCCTCAGGTATGTCATGCGAAAGTTGAAGCGAGGATCATCGAGAATTAACCAAGTCGAACGAATTTGCTGAGCCAGTCGATTTCGCTAACCCTTATGTTAATATATGTTCGATTGGATTTCATAATAATGAAATTCTTGGGAGATGGACTTGCTTCTTTCTGATTCCCACTCGTGTTTAGCAGAGCGAATTTCTCTGAGTGCTATAACTATGGGTTGAGAAATCAACAAAGGTAAATGGCTTATCTTCAGTGCTGAGCAAAAGGAAACAAGTGGTTGAGGAAAACCATTGGAAGTATAGTGAAAAAAACGAAAAGCAATGCTTCCTTGTGGTATTTGTGCTCCACCACCAAATTTACGAGCACCACTACACTAACCAAGTAATATGTCATACTTCTCATTTGTTAGCAATCCTATCGTGAATATCACCGAGTAACTTAGTGCGCTCTTGTGGCATCTGTCGATCGGTACTCAGCTGTGTAGCGTAGTCGGGTGCATTTACTAAATTTTTTAATCACAAGTTCTGTAATTTTTGGCAGATCTGTTTTAGGCTGGGCCTAGTGGTTTGAATCAAATGATGCCCTTTGGTCTACTAGGCTCGATTCCAAATAACATGGTTTCTTCGCAACAAGGTGTGTTCACGCTGTTTTTGTTTTTGTTGTAGATTTGCAAACTATTTAGTTACGGTCTCTTTGCGATTCATTTTAATTCCGAGTTAGTATTCTGTCCGTATGACTGTTTATTGAGATAGTAGCCTTTTCATGTAATTTCGTGTCAATTTCAGGTATGGTACTACCAGTGCAAACCATGGTTGGTGCACCGCTGCAGTCAAGCCATCCATCTGATGTGCAAGGTATAAGTATGCAGTCACCATTACATTCCCCGCTCGGTTATCATATGCAAAATTATGGGTAAGTTGTCTGTAATGGCTCAAAACCGTTGTCTCATTATAATATTATGATCTAAAAGATATTCCTTGCGAGAATAAGGCATGGAAAGTTTTGCAGAGCACTTTACTGTAACTATTGAGGAAGTATGTAACACAATATGGTAGAAGTATTGGTGTCTATCATAGATGCACAGCATCACTGCTGAAAATTTGCTAAAATATGAGGCGAAATTGTAGATTCCCGAACGGTAGTCCTATGCAGTCACCGATAGGCTCTCCAATAAGCTCGTCTATGATGTTAGAGGAGAGGACGACGCCTGTCATGGAGCTGAGTCCTCCAAGTGCAAGTGATCCGTGCAGTGAGGTTGGTTTCCATAAGTCTATGTTAAGGAATGTTACGATCTATAGGTGGAAAACCAAGCATCTTGAAATTTTAGCTAAGAGGGCATTTCTATGAAGAGTTTCTTCCGACATAGAAAAAACTTTATTTAAAGGGCATGGAACTGCTCGTAATGATGAGCTGGAACTGTAGCACTTCTGCACACCAGTTTAAAAGATTATTTGGTCACTTTCTAGTTTTCTAAAAAAAAAATTTCTGGTGAAGTCCTGAGAGACCAAAGGCGTTCGTTAATGTCTGTAAACGTGAGGGAAGTTTGCCCCCTCGTTAACAGGATTCTTCCTTTGTAGCGACAATTGAAGGACTTTTTTTCTGAACTGGAATGTCAAACTCTATTTCATCTTCGGTGACTCTTGTACAGTCCATTACTCCGCATCATTCTGGACAATATCGTTGATGGCTAATTACAGCGCCATTTTTTTAACCCTGCTACCGAATCTATCTGCCTTATTTTCTGTATTATGTTTCAACGAAATGAATAGGATTTTGTGAGCTAGTTGATTTCGTCGTTATTCCTCCACATGGTAATCAATCGCTAATCACTCATCTGTATAACCTGTAATGCTAACCGTTTAAATCGTCGCATTACTTACTTGGGCACCAATCGAGTCTTTGTTCGCTTTCTTCATGGATCGTAGCTGCCTGCTGTTTATTTTTTCTACTGATGATTACATTCTCATAATTCGCCAGTTTTTACGTTTTCGTTTTCGAGATCTCTTGGTGTAGACATAACAAACAAATCTGGCTGGTGATCCCGAGCTGCTTTATATATACTTTCCTCTTGGATACCGACTTTTCGCCGAATCAACATGCCGCCAACTCGATTAGTGCACGCATGAACATTTACGCACGTGTTAATCATGGATATGAGTGGTTGTATATCGAGTTACACTTTGGCGGAGTTTGCACAGGGACGCATACTTTTAATTCATCTGTAGTTTTGAGCGGTTACACAGTCATTTTTGCTTAATATTCAACTTTATAGCCGGCAAATCAAGGATTACGACATTGTTTCCTTCTGTTTAGCTTGTTTTAGGTACGTCGTATGAACGAGTTCCACTGTGCCTTGCGAGTTACTGAATTTTTTTTACAATATGTATTCGTTTTATAAGGTGTAATCGTTTCGTCACAATCATAGTATTCAATTAACAGGATTCGGTGGGTTCAAGCTTATAGTGTTCGTTTCTAGACCGCTAGCCTTCCCAACTTACAACATCAAGTCATTCCTCATCAACAGCCGCCACCATTCTATCACCAAACTGTCGGTCAACGTCACAGTACTAGCGGAGCTCTAATGGCGACACCACGCCTTTCGCCAATAGCGGCCCGATCACCCGAGAGCCAATCGGCGCCGACATCACCGGCGAACAACATTGATCCGTCACAACACTTACAGTGGACTGAGACCAGGTAAGGAATGAGAGGAGGACAAAAACAAGAGTCTTAGTGATGTGGTGGGTAACATATGAGACCCTTGAGAGGGTGGTCGCGGGTTCGACACTGACCTGCAGTTCAGAGTTTTGCAAGTGCCTCAACATCATTTTGATTGTATTTCACGTGATACCATGCCATGAATAAGAACTGGGCAGTAAGTACAAGGTTGGACATTAAGGGTTGATTTGTTTGAGCAGAACCGTCAGTCACGTTAGAGAATCCAAGTATCTCTTTTACTCACGAGCGATTTACGTTCAAACCATTTCAAAACACGTGCTATATGATATCCCGTAAATGACAATTTTTTTTCCATGTTAGACTTGTTCCTGTTCTTTCTATTTGTGATGCACATTTACATTAAGAGTATAATTCTATGCTATTCTTTTGAACGACATCTACAACTCTTGTAACATTTTAGTAATTTAAACGACAATACATTTGTTAAATTCAATCAGTAATTTAAACGACAATACAACAAAACAAATGTTAGTGTTTTATTCAATGATGCTGAGATATTTGCAAAACTCCGGACGGCAGGTGTATGCGGCGGGGAACGAACACGCGCTGTTGTCCTTACCGGGAAGCAGCGCACTTCACCACCACACCATCCGGGTCCTTCGTTTTGCCTGTCTTTCAGCTAGTTCTATCGATCTTTTGCCATCAGCAATCACCCGTCAACGGGATTGATCTGGGGGGCACAAATCGGCAACGAACCCAGTTAAGCTGAGGCCGCAGTTTTAATCACAATTTAACGTATTATTTACTGCCTATTCTTTTTAACGGCGTGGTATACATTGTGAAATATAACTTCAATGATGCTGAGATATTTGCAAAACTCCGGACCGCAGGTGTATGCAGTGGGAAACGAACACGCGCTGTTGTCCTTACCGGGGAGCAGCGGACTTCACCACCACACCATCCGGGTCCTTCGTTTTGCCTGTATCTAGTATATTTTCACATATCCATGGAAATACCTAGGGATTAAATATTCTCATTCTTTAACTTTCTGTTAAATTTTTTCACTGCCTAGATCATTCTCGTTGACGGATGATTGATGATAGCACCGTTAGGATAAAAAACTGGCTAAGAGAAAGGCAAGGCCATGGTCTAAGTGGTAATATGTGAGTCCCCGGAAAAAGTAATCGCGGGTTCCAAGCTGGTTTGAGATCCAAGGTTTATAAATATATCAGCATCGTTGTGATTAGATATTCTCGGATATTGTTGTAGTGCTTATAATTGTGAAGTCTTACTTCGCCTTTTTTTGTCATGGTAAAGCCCATGTTTTTCTAATCATCCCTTCTTTTTCTTTTCTGAATCCAGTCTTTAAGCATCATTTTCACCATTTCAGGACTTTCTCTAATTCACCGGAATCGTTAGATATTCCTCGCTTGGTGCTGACAAATCCTGAGGGTGCAGATAGGCCACACCTAGAATGTTTTAACGATTTACAACAACTAACATTGGACTCGAATGATCTGCAAATGCTGTGCAATGGTGCATCCAACGGGCATCCCATTAATCAGGCAGGCTTTCAGCTTTCTCATAATTTGTGGATTAAAGTGGAAAATCTCAAGTTCCGTAGAAATGCTCTTTTGCACTCTTTGTGTTCTGATCGATGCTTGTATCCAGTAGTATCGATTACGTGGTAAACAACTTGTTGCTCTATAGAGACACGACGAGCGTAAACAAGCATTGCCTCAGGGACGGTGTGTAACGAGGGATAGGATCGTTTTAAAAATAGTCGTAGATAGCCATAGGCCTCTTGTCGTGAATTTCCACAAGTCTTCTGCCTTCACATATATAAAGATGTTGACAAATGTTATGGAACTCGAGCATTAGGTGTCCTGTAATCTCATGGATAGTTTTGAGGCGATTGGACATTGCCACTTCGCATCTTACACGGATCTCTAGCAGCGTTGATAAAGTGGCAAATAATAACACATGACGAAAAATTCGTAACAATATAGAACAGTCTGGTAAGTGGTTTTCAGCTACTAGGTTCTAAAACATTCCAGAGGAACAAGAACTTTATTGGATTAGAACCGTGCTTGACGTCTGACAGTCAACACCAGAATGAATCCTTTGAATCTTTGCTTAATGTTGCCTTTTGGACATGTGGTATAAGTGCGCGCAAAATATAAGGAAATACGGTCAGCATTCATTAATCTAAGTCCTTCCTATGCTATCACACTACAACGCCCTCACGTGTTTCCGATCGGCATTCAGAACATAGACAAGGTTGAGTGCCACGCTGGATTTTATTGACTTTACTTTCGACATCTGGTCTAAACTCTTATTTTTGACCATTTGTATCGCTTTCTTGTCCATGAATTATCCAGTGATCAATAAGGACTGAAAAATTCGCAATAACGATGACCGTCTGAAGATGCCATTCAAAGCAGATCGGTTCAAGATTTGTCCGTGATTTATACGATAAGTAGGCAGTTTAAGATTGTATTGTATGTCAAATTGAATAAATAAGAAAAATCATTTGTTCGTGCTGGTGTAACATTTTAACCTCGCTCAACTATTAGTGTGAAGAGCAGAAGGATCAGAACTGAAATCTGCCATAAATGGTTTTTTTTCTTTTTTTTTCCACATTTATTGACAATACTTGTTAAGTAAAAGCATTTAAACTGCTTGTCATCTTTAGGATGGAGTTTTTGTACTTTTCATACTTTGTTAATCTAACTGTTTTAGGATTGCTGCGCAAGGAACGAGTGCACAGGTAATACACAATGATCATTAGTCGTTTCCATTGAAACAGCTATGGTTCAGAGTTTCTCTGAACTTCGTTTTTCATTTGAATATTCTTTGACAAGTGATTTTATGTCGAGTTATTTTTATATTTCGATTAATATATTGTTTATCCTGCGTGACCTAATATCGATTGGTAATTGTTTGCTCGTTCGTTTTAGTGTTATCGCCAAAAACTGTGACATCCAATCGTTTGCCTCAGAGTTCTATACACATTTTTTGTTCATTGTTTTCGTAGTTTTTCCTTCTCTGTTCCTTTGTCTGGGTTATGCTTGCTCCTTTTGAGATGTGCTGTAGAGAACGATATTATTCGGTCTAGTGTTAGCGAAATCAAGAAGAGCATAGTTTATCTCATCTGAAGACCTTTTTATTATGACCACAAATTGCTAGATTAACTGGAAAGTAACCTCTCGAAAGAAAGTACGGTAATTGAGATAAACTTTGCAAAGGCGAATTTGGGTATTATTGCTTCCTTTCTGGTTGTCCGCTTCTTACTAAAGTTCCACACGAAGCATACGTGGAATTTCGTTCCTAATCCCTTTAGTGGTACCTTCGGCTGTGATTTTGTTCCATATTTTAGCGTTTTAACTGGGAAACGTTCACATGTTGCTATAGAGGAACGAAAAAGATTGTTGATATGACAAGATCCTAGGTTGTGCTATCCATTATGGTAACGATAGACGAGCATGCACGTAGGATGTTCCTAAATAGTCTCCATGTGAGTGTTAATTAGTCCATTAATTGTTTCTAAAGAATTTCAAGCGCGTACTGGGCTTCCTTTGGCTTACTTTTACTTTTCTCTGATTTGTTATTGTATTTATGTATCACTAAAGTTCTTGTAATTGTTTATATGTTGTTGTAATCTTCTCTATCCTACTCATTTGATGT